AAGGTTCAGTCCCCCACAGTTTGGTGCTTAGTCCAGCCGCGACTGAGGAGTTTGGAGTCTGTGGATCAAAGGGGGCGGGTGGGACAATGATGATGGAGGAGGTCAGTGAGGTAAGAAAGGGCAGGTTATGGAGGGACTTGTAGGTTTGGAGGAGGACCTTGTACTGGTAAAAACAGAAGATTTACTTACTTCACAGTCAACATTTACCCATAAATAAATATCTGCCTGTCTTGTTGATAGTAGAGTTGTTGGAGTTTCATTAAAATGAATTAGAATATATTCAAAGTTTAGACAGCTTTGGGTTAACCTACGTGTGTGATGTGATGGAGCATCCTCCCATCCCCCAGTCATGAGTGAAACACAAATAAGCAGGAAGCCGAAAACATCTGTTTTCAGTAGATCTCATGTTTATTTAGAGGGAAGCCACGTCTTCTCTGAGGGAGAGGAAGGTGGGACATATTGTTGCATGTGTTTCAAATTATCATGGTATAAGACCAGAGCTCTTTGTCCATTCTTTGTCACTCTGCTGCTACATCTAGCTGACCCAGACTGGTGCAGTCTGTAAACTTGTCCGTGTGCTGATGTCCAGATAACCTGTAGTTTTGAACCAGCGGCTAACAACATGTATTAAAGAGATTATGTTGTTGAAATGTGACTAGTTTATTCACATTTTTTGGTCCTTCGAGCCGGATGCCAACATGCTTTTCTGCGGAGCTGAGGATGCCTCAAACATGGAGTTGGAGCAGCGGTGAGGCCTTTTTTTTCATTCAGAACTGCTTTGAGGACCCCATCTTTGAGGCATAGCCAGTCTCCGGATTGAAGTTGACGGCAGAACTAGAGTTTCTGGACATCCACATGGACAAGGTAAAACTAAATTTTTCTAAAAGGAAACCAAATTTAAATTGTCTTTGAAGGCAGGTAATCCAATGTATCTCCTCAAAAAGCATTGGGGCAGTGAGATATCACGCACTTCTAAGAAAGTGGAGAATTTAAAAGGGTGAAAGTCCGTGATTGGTTAGTTCATCGGTACCAACAAAGCGACAGAATAGATGAAACTTCTATCCACTGGATGAATAAACATCCTCAGAGAAGAGAAAACAAATTCTGCACTATGGACGCATACGTGTAGTTGGAAAACCAGATCTGGCCATTTTCGAGGGAAAATGGAACATTTTGAGAGCCGATTAGTTACTTTTTGGTAGAACTTTGTGGTAGCCTGCATAATAAGACGACCTCTTATGTGAGTAGTATTTGTTTGTTTGTTACTTCAGGTTTTGCATGTAAGTGTTTGTCTTCTATGTTTGGGACTTAACTGACTGAACTAACAGACTATAAAATAGGAATAAACATCAGGACTAAAATATTATTTCACAAATAATATGAAACAATATTAGAGTAAAATCAACAGAATTGTCAACTAATATTTTGTTCTGTCTCTGAGTTTGTTTCTGTCTCAGCTGAGAGAGGGACGTCTGGGGACAGTGTTTGGTTGTTCCCGGCACAGCATCGGTCACATGCTTCACCTCACTCCAACCAGAGAGACAGATCTAAGAGCAGGAGTAACTCAGAGGAGCAGGAGGAGGGGGAGAAGCATCGGCAGGGGTGCTGTGGTTGGGAACGACGAATCAGACGCCTATGAAAGTCCTCTCTGACTGATGCTGACTCAGAACAATCAGATAAGTGGAAAACACTCTGAAATTAAGCAGTTTAATTTCTCAGATTTGAATAATAATCATGTTTAGTTTCATTTGAAGGGTTTAAATTCAACAGTAAGGGAAGTTACTGTAGCATGTTTAATGTTTACATCAAAGAAATGCAAATCTGTTTGATTCTGAATATAACTAGTTATAAATTATTTCAATAGTTAATTGTGATGTTTTCATTTCTGACACAAGAAAATATACAGTAATAGGACTGTCTTCAGCAACGGCTTTCATTAACTGCTAAGGTTTTCTTTTGGGGTTTACTGAACTAAGTTTGAGGGAAACACCTAAAACACCACTTTTGATGCTCAAAAAGCTCAGAGTTCATTCCTGTGAAGGAGACGCCCACTCCCACCTCCACCAATCATCAGCCAGCTGGCCAAACTAAGCCAAACCAGCAGGCCAAACCAGCAGGCCAAACCAAAGGCTAAATGCTGCAACGACAGAAGCAATGATGCAAAGGGTCATCCAGAGGTCAGACTCAAATCAACCACTTGACTCTGTGTGTTTTTGGGACATTTTGCAGATTTCCAAAAAAATCTGAAAGACTGGGTTGACCAAAGACATCACCTTTGTGCAAAGATCTGAGGACAGGAGGCTTCCAGTTTTTGCTGTCGGTTCTAAAGTGTGTGAACAGGACAGAGGGCTTCTGGACATGATGGGGCTGGACATTGCTGAATGCAGAAGACAGCAGGGTGTGGAGGCGTTTCTACAACAGGTGTTACTGGACAATAGGCTTTTTGGTGTGGTGTTTAATTTGATAACCAAAGTTGACACATTTCAAGTTAATACATTTCAGGTGAAAACATTTCAGGTTAATACATTTCAAATGAACGTTTAGTTTAAAAATGGTGATGCTACATTCATTTACATGAGTAAATTGGGTATTTGTGTCTTTTTCATTTCATACACATGAATAATTAGGAATTATGTTTAGTTATTGAGCCATTTTTAATGTCTCAAACAGGGGGGGGGATATGGTTTATGGAGGAGCAATTACATAAGAATATGAAATGATCTCTAAAAAAATTTTTGAGTTCTTTTTTGTGTGTGTTTCTGTAACCAATGTGATTTTTATAAGACACATGTCAAGAGGGGTCTTTAAGTTGAGTCGACACAACTTGGATTTCAAATGTAATACTGTGCTTGTATTAATTTTGTTGTGTTCCATCTTTAAGTTGGTTTACTAAACATTGAATGTGATTAATTCTTTTAATGAAAAACAGGAGGGAATGATAGTAGAGTTGTTGGAGTTTCATTAAAATGAATTAGAATATATTCAAAGTTTAGACAGCTTTGGGTTAACCTACGTGTGTGATGTGATGGGAGCATTCTCCCATCCCCCAGTCATGAGTGAAACACAAATAAGCAGGAAGCCGAAAACATCTGTTTTCAGTAGATCTCATGTTTATTTAGGCTATATCCACACGAAGACAAAACGCTTATAATTTCAGAAACTTTTTCTGTAAACACGGAGTTAGCTCAGTAAATGTGTGCGTCCATATGAATGTAGTCAATACGCCAGACCTGTTGGTGGCGCTGTGACGCAATGACGGGATCAAGCCCAAACTTCCGTGGGCATGCGCGGAATTTTGTAAACAGACAACATGGCGAGTGGGCGAGCTGGTACTACATTAGTATGGACAGACGATGAGGTTGAACTGTTGCTTCGGGTCACACTGGATTACAAAACCAACAAGCTACATTGTTGTTGTCATTATTTTCTGAGTGCGGCGCATGCGTGCTTTAACAAGAGGCGGGGCGATGACGCGTCTCAGATACATTGCGGAGAGGCAGTAACCACGGAGCGGCATATACGGAGTTTTGAAATCTTTCCACTCTGGGACCTAGTTTCAAAAATGTTCGTTTACACCCCCCCAAAACGCCGGCCTCGTATGGACGATACACTGGATTGATAAAGTATTTTTGCGTTTAGGCCTGAGCTTGACTTCGTGTGGACAGGGCCTTAGAGGGAGGCCACGTCTTCTCTGAGGAAGAGGAAGGTGGGACATATTGTTGCATGTGTTTCAAATTATCATGGTATAAGACCAGAGCTCTTTGTCCATTCTTTGTCACTCTGCTGCTACATCTAGCTGACCCAGACTGGTGCAGTCTGTAAACTTGTCCGTGTGCTGATGTCCAGATAACCTGTAGTTTTGAACCAGCGGCTAACAACATGTATTAAAGAGATTATGTTGTTATTATGTTTATTCACACTTGTGTTGTCCCAGTGCTGTGCTGCAGTGTCGTGGCAGACACAGAAGAAGAAGTGATCGGAGCTCGGTCTGGCTCCAGCGTCTCTCTTCTCTCCGGGGTGTGTCTGGGGCAACAGCGGCAGCTTCTGTGGACGTTCATAAACTCTCACTCTCGCGTGATGATCGCCAAAGTTATCCCTCCCATCATTGTGGAGCTGAACCCGAGCCTAGAGAGCCGGCTCCGTGTGAACGCAGAGACCGGAGACCTGCATCTGTCCAACCTGACCCTCAACGACACGGGACTGTACCAACAGCTGTGCATCGAACAAAGCATCTCGTTCAAGTCCTACCAACTCATCATCTACCGTAAGACACATGTGCTTTGATTATATTTATATACTGTATACAGTGTTTGCCCCCCTTGAACCTTTCAACATTTCGCCACATTTCAGGCTTCAAACATAAAGATATAACATTTTAATTTTTTGTCATGAATCAACAACAAGTGGGACACAATCGTGAAGTGGAACAAAATTTATTGGATAATTTAAACTTTTTTAACAAATAAAAAACTGAAAAGTGGGGCGTGCAATATTATTCGGCCCCTTTACTTTCAGTGCAGCAAACTCAGTCCAGAAGTTCAGTGAAGGATCTTTGAATGGTCCAATGTTGTCCTAAATGACTGATGATGATAAATAGAATGCACCTGTGTGTAATCAAGTCTCTGTATAAATGCACCTGCTCTTTGATAGTCTCAGGGTTGATAAGATGCCTGTGCGACTGATGACCTCATAATCCAGCGACAGAGCAGCGTGCAGGTTGCCTGGAGTGTGATTCCAGGCGAGGGCGGGACTACTCTTGGAGTATTGTATCATCAAAAAGTCATTTAGGACAACATTGGATCATTCAAAGACCTCACAAAACTTCTGGACTGAGTTTGCTGCACTGAAAGTAGGGGCCGAATAATATTGCACACCCCACTTTTCAGTTTTTTTTTTAAAGTTTAAATTATCCAATAAATTTCGTTCCACTTCACGATTGGAGCCCACATGTTGTTGAGTCATGACAAAAAAATTAAAATTGTATATCTTTATGTTGAAGACCTGAAAAGTGGAAAGGTTCAAGTGGGCGAATTCTTTCGCAAGGCACTGTATATAAAAGTACAAAAAAGTACATATTTGTTTACTTCAATATAATGTAATCGCACATTATCAAAATTTGTATTGACAAAATTGTACAGGAGTTTTATTTTGAGAATCATACACAAGGCTTAAAGAGAAACACCCTGACGGGGAAAAATATCATTACTTGTGTCTCAGAATCTTTCGGCTGTCGCCGTCTCCGAGATTTCTCCGTCTAGTCAATTAAGAGTTCTTTTACTGATGGCTCTCTTCTTTTATTATAGCTTGTACACGATATTTCAAGGGTAACATGAAACATGTAGCACAACGACGCCACCGTCGAACTCGCTGGATGACCCATACTTCAGAGGCAGAGTTATGACCTTGTCATCGCTCTTATAACACAAATCACATTTGCTCTTAGCAGCGAACTTTTACCACACACGTCACTTGACATGTGGACTTGCGTAACTCAATTAGCGTCACCGAAAACAGGTAACGAAACAAAGGTTCCTACCCAAGGATTTTCAAAATAAAGCAATACATTTACAAATAATTCTAAAATACACAAATCAAAAGTATGGCAGTAAAACTCCCACCAAATCACACAACGTGATTTCTTATCAACATTAAACATATCACATGACAATAAAGAATGCCTTAGTTCAGTATTACTCTGCTTCTAGTAATAGCACTGTTTTCTGTACAGGTCTATCAAGATACACTGGTTTCATTGTCCTTTTCCCATTCTTATCCAGAGTTGAATCACTGATTAGCAGCTTGACTTTCCTCACTCGTCCATCTGCACTGGGATGAACTTCGGTTACTCGTGCAAGCTTCCACTGGTTTCTTGAGGAGTTATCCTCTTGAAGAATAACAATGTCATTCACTTTAGTGTTTCTCTTTTCCTTTTGCCATATCTGTCTTTGCTGAAGATTGAGAAGGTATTCTCTCTTCCATCTAGTCCAGAATTCGTTTGTCAAAAACTGTACTTGACGCCATCTTTTTCTCAGGTATAGATCCTGGCTCACAAACTCACCAGGAGGCGGTAATATAATGTTGGATTTCATCATAAGAATATGATTGGGTGTGAGAGGTTCAACACTTGTTGGATCGTTCAGATTTTCTACTGTTAATGGTCTGCTATTCACAACAGCCATAACTTCGTAAAGAAAGGTTCTAAGCGTGGTACTGTCAAGTCGTTTGGAGGTTTGATCAAGAATAGCCGTCAAAACACTTCTAATGGTCCTAATTTGCCTCTCCCAAACACCTCCCATATGGCTCGATGAAGGAGTGTTCAGTACAAACTCACATCCGTGTTGTTTTAACTGCTCTTGGTCAAAGTCTTTCATAGCACTCAAAAACTCTCCCTTAGCACCCACAAAATTGGTGCCTTGATCACATCTGATTTGTCTTACATGTCCACGAATAGCAACAAAGCAGCGTAATGCATTAATAAAGGCATCACTGGTAAGATCATCTAACATTTCAACATGTATTGCCCTAGAACACATACAAGTAAAAATAAGACCGTATCTTTTTAACTCCTTTCTACCATCTTTCACGTAAAAAGGTCCAAAACAGTCAATACCACAGTAGGAGAATGGAGGTGTAATTTCCATTCTGTCCTCTGGCAGATCTGACATGCGTGGATCTTGTGTACTTCTCCTGTACTTACGACAGCTCGTGCACTTGTAGATGTGTGAAGCGACTGCACTGCTGCATCCAATGATCCAAAGTCCATTCGCACGCAGCTCGTTTGTCGTTATTCCTCTTCCTTGATGACACACTTTCTCATGGTAGTGTTTAATCAACAACGATGAAATATGACTTGATTTCGGTATGATGGCAGGATGTTTGATATGTGGGTGAAGGCTCGATCTTGTTAAACGTCCTCCTACTCTGAGTACTCCCTGCTCATCAACAAAGGGACTTAGTTTGTAGATCTTGTGTGTCTCATCTTTGATTGGAATGTCTTTTCCTTGAATCAAGTTTTTGATTTCCTTATGAAATGCGTTGTCTTGTGCCAGTTTTATTATAAACACTTCAGATTCTTGTCTGTCCTTTATACTTGTGTTTTCACCCTTTGTTTGTGTGACACATTTAAAGTCTTTCACAAATTTCCTCAAACGAGCGATTGCTTTGACAGCTCTTCTCCAATCTGAGAATTTTGTGAGGCGGTCTAATATGGATCTCCCTTGTTGTTGTGTGCTGGTGTTAAGCACATGCAATGTTTTTAACTCAGGATCATTTGATATGAGATCATTAACGTCATAATCTTCAATGGGTAACTCACTTTGCCACAAAAACTCTGGACCTTTAAACCAGTTTGAGTCGAGGAGCTGCTGAACATTTAATCCTCTTGACGCATGATCAGCAGGGTTACTTTCAGATGGCACATGATGCCACTGCTGTGAATCTGTGAGTGACTTTATCCTTTGAATCCTATTTGCCACAAACACGTGGAATCTCTTTGCGTCGTTATTCACATAACCTAAAACGACTTTAGAGTCAGTCCAAAAATGTTCTTGGAGATTGCTTAACTCAAGTTCATTCCTGAGCATCACACTTGTTCTAGCAGCAACTACTGCAGCTGTTAACTCAAGTCTAGGGACTGTAGTAACTTTCGAAGGGGCAACACGCGCCTTCCCCATTACTAGGGCACAATGGACATCTCCTTTAGATGTTACTGTTCTTAAATAACTACACTGTCCATAGCCTGAGAAACTAGCATCGGAAAAGTGGTGTAGTTCACATTGTTTAATGTCTGTATTTGCAGGTAAGAGAGACATCTTTGAATTCTCACCTTTGATAGATTTTGAAGATCTTGAAGCCAGAATTCCCACTGAATTCTGATTTGGTCTGAGAGTGGATCATCCCATCCAGCCTTTTCTTGACACAACTGTTGTAGTATTTGTTTCCCCTTTAAGATGAAAGGTGCTACAAATCCCAAAGGATCATAGACTGATGCCACTGTGCACAGGACTCCTCTTCTGGTCATGGGATGCTCTTTGACTGTTATTTTGAACTGAAACTCATCAGAAGACACACACCACTGTACACCGAGTGCTCTTTCTAGCAGTGGCTCTCCTAGCGCTAGGTCTAGGTCTTTAACACTTTCTGCACACTCTTCTTTGGGTAGTGATTTTAACACATTTTCATTGTTTGATATGAACTTATGGAGTCTGAGTTTGCCTGTGCTACACAGCTCTCTCGCTTCTTTGACTAGTTTTATTGCTTCTTCTTCTGACATCATACTGATCAGTCCGTCATCGACGTAAAAATTATTTTGAATGAACTTTACCGTGCTTGGGTCAAACTTGTCCTCACCTTGTGTGGCTAGATGTTTTAAGCCAAAGTTAGCACAGCCAGGTGATGAGGCCGCGCCGAAGAGGTGAACCTTCATGCGGAAGACTGAGGGCGGAGTGCTTAAATCACCATGCTCCCACCATAGAAAGCGTAAATAGTCCTGGTCCTGAGATCTTACATGGAACTGATGAAACATTCGTTCCACGTCACACATAACAGCAACTGAGCCCATTCTGAACCTACAGAGCACTCCCACCAATGTATTAGTAAGGTCTGGTCCCGTAAGCAGATGTTCGTTCAGTGCAGTGTCTTTATACTGTGCAGATGCGTCAAACACTACACGTATCTTACCCGGCTTTTGTGGGTGGTATACACCATGGTGAGGTATATACCAGGCAGGGCTATTACAAAGTTCTTTCTCTGGCACCTTCTCCGCATCTCCACGCGAGATGATGTCCTCCATGAAGTTGACATAGTCTGTGTAGTACTTCTGATCCTTTTTCAATTTACGTTCCAGGCTATTCAAACGTTGCATTGCCATTGATATGTTGTTAGGAAGATTTGGTCTGTCACCTTTGAAGGGTAGAGGCATTTCATAATGTCCATCCGGTTTATGTACAATTCCTTCTTGAAGCTTGGTTAGAAAGTGAATGTCTTCTTGTGAAATGCTTTTCTCTTCCACTGCCCTTTCAGTAAAATCTGATTCAAGTGCTTTAATTACATCTGGACATGTTACTTCTTTCACTTGTGTCTTACAGATGTAATGCACTTCTTTCTTTAGCTTTGTATTTGACTCTGGTATGACTTGTTTCACAATGATGCGGTGACTTACTCCAATCATATCACTGCCTGTTTTAGTTGAATCACAGTAACTGACGATGCTCCAACCTAAATCCGTTTTCTGAGCAAATGGCTGGTTTTCTTCTCCACAAACAACTTCTCTGGGCATTAGGCTT